AAACTGCCGTCTTCCGTTATGCCGCTTAAATGGTAAAACTTTAAACTTCCAATTTCGTCCCTGGTGTAATTTTCTAAATCAATGACAATTGTGGGATAACTGCCAATTACCTTGTGAGTTAGGGCAAATTTGAACTTTTGGTAGCGGACAATGGCATGACTCCAGCTAGCTCAGATGGGCAGTGCGATTTTCACCATCGTTAGATATGACCTCAGGGTGTTTGAGGCTTGTGAAGGACAAATTTCAAATTTCCGTGCTTGGATTGCTCAGGTATAACGGGTACTCACGTCTACCTCACCGTACTACGGTCGGCAATACGTGCGTTACCATGTGTCTCACTTTGTATCGAGCTCATAACTGCTACGTTTGCATCGAAATGTTCATCTTCTGGTATCATAGTGCACGTGGTAAAGAAAATCCCAGGTACACATTAAACTGATAATGTTCCTCGCTGATAGGGTTGTGAAAGCGAAGATGACAGGAATAATTTCATGATATATTTATATGTTGTTTTGAGTATATGAAAACGATGTTCCTCGATATAAAACAACAGGTTTACATTTAGTGTTACGAAACATGCGCAGATTCTTGAGCCGTAAAGTAGTTCCCATGCTATCGATATGAAGCGATGCAGTCATTTGAAGGCCAGGTGTTATTCGTTATGATCTGCGGAGATTTTCTGATACACAACCACCTTTATCGAAAAGAAGAAACAGCGTCTAAATGAGTTTCAAAAGTGGTGGAAATTTTCCTTTTAGTAATATTATGCTTTTGGCATTAAATCGGTACCAATGTTGGAAAACACAGCAACGTCTTTCAATAGCGATTTTCTTCGTCTTTCCACCAATCACTATTGTCTTTGCTCATTTCTACCTCTCTTTACTTCTGGCCACTTAAGTTCGCGGAAAAATCAGCGAGAGTATGTCACCATCACCGGCACTACGGTCTTCCATTCACAGGGCATGTTCCCCATCGACTAGTTTAGACTTACTTCAGGCGGGATAAGGTCCTACAGTTTGTTGCCTGAAGTAAACGAGTTAGATTTTCAGTGCGATGTGAGTGAGAATGTGTGAGCAAACTGAGTGAATGTGAGGAAATGTTGCTAACTCTTCGCCAGCCTACACGTTGCCGTGGCGCTATGGATGTTCTGTGCGATGGAAGATTATCAAACAGCGTGGCATTCTCGTGACAGCTTGTTGATCAGCATTACGCCTTAAATAATTCTTGCAAAAACGTGTATTTGATCGGCCATGGCTGCGACCCTTGCTCGGAGCCCACCGATGCATACCGTACGGGAACGTGACGTTATGGTTGTTGTTCGTCGTCATCGTCGTCGTCGTCGGTGTCAACTACCGAATAGGCTTCGGCCGGCGGCGACGGCTGAGACAGTGACAGCTCGGCGATGGATGGACGGACAGACAGACGATATCGGCCGATCGTCCAATCAGCTCTTCGGCTGTCGTCTTACCGATGCACTTTACGACGTCCTGAGCCGATGAGTCGGTAACGTTTTCCGGTACCGGTAAACGTTCTTCGTCTTCTACCGTCAAATTTCACTAAATACAGAGTTCAGCAAAGTAATGACCGCTGAGCTGGCCGCCGTCCTGTCGTCGCCGCCAAAAAAGCGAACAGAAGCCTATAGCCGGTAGAGACGGTAAACGAGGTGACTTCGATGACAACAACGTCAACAGTGAACGCGATTCGCTTGAACTCCAGCTTAAGAGGGTGATCGTTTGGCAGCGCTTGGCGCTCACTGTAAAATGGTCAATGGCCCGGTTCTGGTTCCAGCGGGTCATTTGTGTTTCTTTCACTGAGGTTGATAAACGAGTAATATCCCAGGTGGGAGGGGACAAAGACTACACGTTGGAATGATTGCCTCGGTGTGGTGTATGCAAAGTTAACGCATTGCAGTACTTGACGCAGTCGACGGAAGGAAATCATTACTGTACGATGAACTCACGGTCGGTAGGTAAACGAGTCACGATGGAGTCAAACACGGCATCGTTAGTAGTTACAGGATCGTGTGAAAGTCAGCTAGCCTAAGAGAATGAACTTTTCGCCTGAGGCCAAAGACCAATACTTCTCATCCCGTGGACTCATTGGCGCTTTGTTCTTTGAGGTGGATAAACAAGTAACACGGGCCGACGGAAGTGAAAAGTTATTGTGATAAAAACAAAGCTAACCTGCCTGAGGCCGGCAAACTAAGCCTCTTCGTAGATGGCACCAAAAACACCAAATAGAGATGCGCGTTGCACGACGGACTCAGTGATATGCACAGGTCACCGATTATCTGAATAATGGAAATGTTGGCGTCTTCAGGATTTCGAACTGCTTTCTTCCTGTTTTACTGAACACTGGTGCAGAAAGCAGAATATAATGTACCTTGATGTTCGCCAGACAGAAAAAGGCAGCGTCAGTAGCATTTGGTAGTTTTCAATCACTTGAATTGAGGAATGGCAGATTTACGGTGTCATACTGAAATGATCATTATTACTTTTTCATGATGCTGCCACTTCCAAAATTCCGGAAGTGAACGATAGAAAGCAATTCATTAAACGTTGTCCTTTCTTCACGGTGAAACTGCATTTTCTAATAAACAGTAAAGTCTGACAAGCGATTAATATCATACGCAATGTGCTTACGAATATAAGATCGAAAAAATGAGCCTTTTGTTTCTTCCACTTTAAGTGGTCGGTTGTAGTGTGCTTTTTGCCAACGGTCATGGTGAAATTTCTTTCAAGAATGCAGGCCGCTAGTCACACAGTTTCGGGATCGCCGTAAAGTTTTCGTCGATAAAATTGATGTAGGTCACTGAAGTTTCGATATGCAGGTCTGTAAACAGTTTTCAAGTGGATGTTGACACCGAGATTGTGGCAGTACTTGCGAATGAACACACAGGCTGCTTAGTAGAGTAGAGTGCACTTGCCCCTTTTGAATCGATTTTAACGAAAGGAACAAGTGTTATTGAGTGAAACACAGCAGAACACAGAATTCAGAGCACTCAGAGAGTGACAGCTGCTGATGTTCAGAGAAAGGAAAATCCTCACTGATATTCAAAAACTGCAT